ACTATGGAAGTAGATTGCCCAACCTTCCTTCTGAGGAGTGGCTAGTGGGTTTGAACCACCAGCCTTCTGGTTAGCAGCCAAGTGCCTTAGGCACTATGCTATGAGAGATATGAACAAAATAAATCAACACATGACAAATCAAAAAAGAAATGACACACTTGCAAAAGCATTTGCAATGCATATCACAAACAATGAGCTACTCTCCTTAATACATAAAACTCATAAAAATTTAGAAGAAAAAGAATAACAACCAATATAAATATGAACAATGAACAATATCAGAGAAAACATATAAAAATAAATATATAATATAGAGAAAAACATGTAGCTGGCCCTTAAATATAAAAAGAGATGTTCAACCTCTCTCATAATAGGAGAAACCCAAATTAAAATTACTGAAATACCAGTTGTCATCTATCAGATGGGCAAACTCTCAAAATCTGACAAGAAACTTTGCTGGTGAAACTGTAGGGAAATAGATTCTTTCATGCACTGCTAGTGGGAGTACAACATGGCACAATCCTTCTTTAGCAACTTTTATTAAAATTACATATTACAAATTCATTTGCCCCTAGACCCTACTTCTGAGAATTTATCCAGAAATATATCTGTGTGAATGAAGCCCAGTCAGGATTACTCACTGCGATCTTGTTTAGTGCAAAGGGCTAAAAGCAACCTGTTACGGATTGAACTTTGTCACTCCTCCCCCCAAAATGTGTTGGAATCTTAGCCCCTAGAATATAATCCTATTATAGAATAGATATAATCCTATTTGGAAATAGGATTTTCTTTGTTTGTTCAATGAGTCCATATCAGGGCAAGGTGTGACCTAAGCAGGATCACTTCTGAGTTATAAAAAGAGCTGACTTGACACAGAAGCGTAAGCACAAACAGGAGGAACACAGATGCCATGTGAAGACTACCAAGGAACTCTGGGACTACAGAAGCCAAAAGAGACAAAGATCTTCCCCCAGAACCAGCAGATAGAGAGCATTTCCCTAGAGTCAGTGTCCTGAATTCAGACTTCTAGCCTCCCAAACTGTAAGAATATAAATGTCTGTTCTCTAAAGCCACCCACTTGTGGCACTTCTATTAGAGCAGCACTAGGAAACTAAGACACAACCTGTCCATCAATGGGGGCTGGGTAAGTAGATTGTGGTCCATGCATACAATGGAACACTATGTTTTTGTTTTTGTTGTGTGCTATCAAGTTGATTCCAACTCTATTGCAACCCTATGGGATAGAGCAGAACTGCCCCACAGGGTAATCTCTGCGGGGGCATATTGCCCAGGTCTTTTCTCCTGTGGAGCAGCTGGTGGGTATGAATCAGTTGAGTGCTTAACTACTGTGCCACCAGGTATCCTTGGAACACTAAGCATCTGCCCAAAAACCGAGATTGCAGGAGGTAGCTCTCTATGTACTGACAGAGAAAATCTGCAGGATATATCATAAAGCAGAAAAGAGCAAGAAAGAAACTCTGTTGGTGTGTATGCATGTGTGTGTGTGTGTGTAGAGAGAGAGAAACACATACAGAGACATACATACATATAAGAGGCTACATTTTGTGTAAAAAGGAGAAAAATAAGAATTTACATTAATATCTGCTTATATTTGCATAAAGGAGTAAGAGAAGGATAAATAACAAACTAACAAGGACAGGAGGGAGAGAGAGGGAGGATGGTGATAGAGAAGGGACAGAACTTTTCAAAGTACACTTGCATCTATCATCTTGAATTTTTGAACCATATGTATATATATTTTAAAATTAAATTAGAAAGAAAGCCAGAAAGAATGAACCTTAAATGTAAAATCAGAAAACCTAGGCTCAAGGTCTCCCTCTAACCATTCTAGCTAATCATCTGCCTTAGCAACCCCATTTTTAGAGTCAGAAGCTCCTGGGCCTTAACGTGAGAACTAGATCCAAGTCCTATTCTGAAAAATGCCAGTGCTGCTACCTTGGGCCAGCTGGTCAACTTCTCTCTAAACCTCCGCTTTTCAACCATAAAATATGGATGATAAATTCTGCCCTACAGAGTTAGATTGAGGAGTCCTGCGATGTCTCTTTAAATTGCCCAGCACAATTTCTGCCATTGTTGTTGTTGTTGTTATGTGCCCTTGAGTCTGCCCGACTCCTAGCAACCCCTCCTTGGGTTTCCATAGCAGACAACAAACAGGGGCTCTGGTAGTGTAGTGCCTAAGGCACTTGACTGCTAACCAGAAGGCTGGCAGTTCAAACCCACCAGCCACTCCTCAGAAGGAAGATGGGGCAATCTACTTCTGTAGTGATACTGCCTTGGAGGCGGGTATCCAAGGAGAGGTCGCTATGAGTCAGGTCTGACTCCACGGCACATAACAACAACAACAACATCATCTGTCAAATGAGCATAACAATGATTTTCTTAAGGACTGCTGGGATGATTTCACTAGATGCAGAATGGGCATTTTCTAAATTTTAGTAATTTCAGAAACATGTTGTTGTTGTTGTTATACGCTGTCGAGTCGGACCGGACTCATAGAGACCCCTCCTTGAGTTTCCGAGGCAGTATCACTACGGAAGTAGATTGCCCAACCTTCCTTCCAAGGAGTGTCTGTTGGGTTTGAACCGCCAGCCTTCTGGTTAGCAGTCAAGTGCCTTAGGCACTACACTACCAGAGAAACATAGTTTGTTAATAAGATGTATTGTATATAGACAGATGTCACCTAAGAAAAATCATAGCCACTACCACTACCTATCTTTTTGTCAATACTTTCTTAATTACTCTCAGGATTTATAGTACTTGCAAGGTAACTTAAGTTACCTGGTCAGCCAGAAATCTTGAATTTTTTTCTTGGTCATACAGAAAGAATCAAGCTGCTACATAAAGTTCACACGTCTTTTTACAAATATGTGTCCCTATAAATATATAAAAAATTTGACCTTTATAAATCATTGCCCTCAAATAATCTAAATTTCAGAGTCTGCAGAGTTTTTGGACACTGGGAACGTGAGCCCCAACACTTCAGTACAAATGAGGGGGCTGACATTGCTGAGAAGGCTTATCAGGGAATGAGAAATATTACACGAACTCATCACATCGCTAAGAAAGAAATCACGTTTCATGGGTTAGCAGGAAGCCAATGCTTTCTGGCCTTTCAGAAGGAATTTTCAAGAACTCTCACCAAAACATTTACAATATATCTGTATTTATATGCCATACAATATGGTATTATACATTTTTCTTTTCTCATTGCACTTCCCTGTGTTTGAAAGAATTTCTCTTTCAGAGTGGGCTGCAGTAAGGACCCTCATTGCTCAGTCATTGGGTGACTGACACACATGCCACTAACCATATATCCAGGATTCCTTGGGCACTAACAGAGACTATATGAAAGAGTACAGGCTTTCAAGATGTGTTCCAATGAGTTTGAACTAGCTGGTCCCATTGCCACAGCAAAATACCTAAAGTTGCCATTCCAGATCAGCTTTTACATGGAATAGCCTCAACTAAAGGAACAGACGTGGAAGAAGGGAGTCTCTCAATACCTTACCGTGTTATTAAAGCTGTCTGTCCGAGAAATTGAGGGGTCCTCTGTGGCATCCCAGCCCACAGAGCTTCGGGCCACTGGAGGCTTCTTAGGGTCATTTTTCTGGGCAGGAGGTAACAGAGGTGCATCTTTGGACTTGGGGAAGAGGACTTCATGGTCTCTAATCATCATAGTCATTACCCTTTGGATCTGAGGAGTCCCTGAAGGAAAGAAGAAAAGAAGTATTTGTAGCGCTGTACCCCGGCAGGAGGTAGGCAGCCCACAAGGGTCCCCACCCATGTGATATCTCCAAACCTGACTCTAAAACCACAAGGACAGAAGGGACCTCATATGCAGATGATGAGAAGGCACTTTGCTCCTCACAGGAACCCTCATAATTGTTGAGGTGAGGAGTTGTACTGTGAAAGGGGTGGGATAGAAAAATGATATAGAAGTGGGGTGAAACAAGGAGCTGTTCAGATTATTTTCAGCTTACAGTCTGCTGGCGCAGGACGTAATCAGGAAAATCAATATGTAACAGGAGGCAATATAACAGGAGAGAAAATGAAGACATATTTCTCTCCTGGTGTGGTCCTCAATATGACAGCATATTTTCTTATCGGCTTCATAGATAGCAGATATGTGCCTGGCATACTGTCCCCCCACAACAACAGCAGACATCAGTACTTTATGCTAGGACATTTGCTCACTGAGTAAGACACAGCCTCAAAATCCTTCTCAATACAGCTTTACAAGCAGTCTTTGTGTGAGTTGGCTTATAAAATAAAACCTATTTGCCTTCTCTGGCTAAGGGGATTTAAAAAGTAATAAAAGACTAGCTAACAGTTTTAGTGCCAGATTCCTGTAACATGCAAGCACTGGACATATCTCTTAAACTCTTAAACTCTCTGTTCCACTGTGATCTGGAAAGTGACATAATTCCTGCCCTGCCTATCTCAAGGTCTGTAGTATGACTCAGATGAGATGATCAGTTGAAAATGCTTGGTAATCTGCAGAGCAGTGCACACACATAGACAGTATTATGGAATTGTTAGGATGTGCTCCATGCCTACTCCAAAGGACCAGCCATACCTCTCATGATCACAGCAGGGTCTTCCACCTTCGATCTGATGAGATTCACTCCTATCACAGTGGCCAGGTTGTCCACGCTCATCTTGTTAACTGCACAGTTCAGCTGGATTTCATGGAGAAACCTGTGGGCAGCCAAGAAATCCCACAGTGGAAAACAGGAAGTTGCCAGAAGGAAGCTCTTCAAGGTACTAAAGAAATCTCAGAGATAAGTCTCAACTATTTCCTACAAAAGTTGCCTACAAAAGTTTAGCTAGATCCTGAAAGATTCAAGAGTAGGAAAGGAAGAGAAACCAGGAGGGGCCTTCCTAGCTGCTGCTGGTGGGTTGAGGTTGGGAAGGTGGGATGGGGTTGGGAGGGTGGATAGGGAACAACATTAGCAGGAGGTTGGATCCAGTTCAGAGAGCTAAAGGGAGACTAGAAGGACTAGACCAGATATCTGACTGCCCCTTGTCCTGCCTGTATAGGCTCTTCCCAAAGACTCCCAATACTCATCCACCCAAGTCTCCAGAGAGAACATTATTATGAGAAAGTCTCCAAGATGAGGAATCATACTATTGCCTTATTCTCAAATTCCAATTAGAGCACCAAGCATCTCTAACTCTCAGTAGGTGCTCAATAACCAACGATAAATTTTTACTACAAGATCCACTTTACAACAATGAATTTTCCACACATTTTGGCATGAAACTCTCAGATTCACTGCAAAAAAACTGAACAGATCACGAAAGGAATTTCTAAATAATCTATATCTCTAGAAAGTATTTAAAAATGGATAGACTGAAACAATATAAACACAGAGACTTTATTAAACTAATGGTGGTCTGCTCAAATGATGAAACATTATGAAATATTTTGGAGTAATTTATAATCATATTTTATGTCACAGAGGAATGCTCATGGTATAACATTAAGCAAAATAAAAGGCAGTACTATATATATATATATCACATACATGTATGTTCTGGTGGTATAGTGCCTAAGAGCACTTGACTGCTAACCAGAACGCTGGCGGTTCAAACCCACCAGCCACTCCTCGGAAGGGAGGTTGGGCAATCTACTTCTGTAGTGATATTGCCTCAGAAACCCAAGGAAGGGTTGCTATGAGTTGGGTCCAACTCAATGGCACATAACAACAACAACATATATACACACACAAATACTCAAACACACACATACACATATATATGTATAGATAGCTAGGTAGAGATAGAGCTATAATTCCAATTTGGTATTTAAAAAGTATTCCCATATACTTATGTTGATGTATGAAATGATTTATCATAGAGTGTGGTGGTTATGTTTGTGTGTCAACTTGGCTGGGCCTGGTTGAGTGGCTGGGCAGCTGGTGGTAGTTATTCCCCATGATGAGACTGGCAATCAACTCCATGGTGGGATCTACCACAAGCAGCTGAGTAGCTGCTTTGGGTATGTGGTCTGCTTCCCATATATAAGAAGCAGCTTTGGAAATAGTCTCTAGCTTATGGCACCTTGAACCCTGCATGTAGCTGTGTTGTTGTTCAGAAGCCTGCCATGCTCTACTGACCTTGGGACTTAACAATGGACTTGAATTAATGGCCTGCTGTGTGGTTTGGTAACATCTGAACTGTGCCTTTTTACTTGTCAACCTTTGGCTTGGCAGCCTCAGCAGCCAGCAGCTGTCTGAGTGAAGAAAAGCCTCTAGCTCCAGTGGGTCAGGAGCAGGAGACAGAGCTGAAGCCCAAGGCTGAGGGGCTTTCAGCAGCCCCTAGAGCCTAGCACTTTGAACTCAGACATAAAGCCTCCAAATTGTAATAATAAACTCCTGTTTGTTAAGGCCATCCCATTTGTGGTATATTCCTGTCAGAGAGGTACTAGGTAACCAGAACATAGAGAGAAAATTCAGAAGGAAATACATCCAAGTGTTAATAGTGATTATTTCAGAGATTGCAGGCAATTTTCACTTTCTCATTTAAAAACTACTGTTATTCCCTGGTGTCCAAATCACACAAGTCACATTTATAATCTGGAAACCACAAGTCATTACTTGTTAAAAAGAAAGACAGATTTCAACTCCACCTGGAATGAAGGCCCGAGCCCCCAATCACTATGTCTGATCAATTCATCTGCTAGATGTTTCCATGGAGACAGTACACAGCAGGTCCCAGAAACAGTTTGGGGAAAATAAAAAGGGTGGCCTTGAATGAATGCTTTGGGGTGCTAAATTATGCTCAGAGTCAGGAAGATAGGAGAGAATTAAAGAAATATTGTAAGGATTCTGCATTCTCTTGCATGTCCCAGGACTCTGGGCAGCACTTGGGTAGCCCTGAGGCCTGACAGAGGAAGAATGTCCATTTTGCGCTGTCCAGAACTTTAGGGTATCCTTCATCTTACCTTGTAGAAATAGGAAGCTACCTCAGTGCTGTGACTAGATTTGACTTTCCAATTACTATACAGTAATCTCTGAGTTCACAGAGGAGCTCCCTCCTCCTCTCATGAGGATTTCCTTCTGACATGGCTGAAAGTGTGGCTCATCACCTTGGAGCTAACAGCAGGGAACTCTTACCTGCAGATGTAGCTCAGGAGGTTGTAGTTGTCTCGGGGCAGGATGGAGAGCTGTTTCATCAACTCCTGCTGAGCCTGGGAAGAGATTTTTGACACGAGTAAAGGAGCCTGCCCATTTGCCAGCTGAGACCCTGGAACATGAGCAGATCTGTGCAGAAGCCACGCTTTGGCTATCACTCCTGCTTCCATAGCTTTTTAATTTTTTTTAACTTTTTATTTTGAAATAATTATAGATTCACAAGAAGTTGCAATAAATAAATAAATAGTATAAAGAGCCTCATAGATTTTTATCCACTGCATTTTGTTGTTGTTATTGTCTGAAATTATATCCCCCAGAAACTGTAAGCTACTCCAAGGCAAGAGTTGGCGTGCCATCAGAACGTGTCTGCACCTGCACATAAAAGTTTGCTGAATGAATTTTTGGGATGTAGCATGCCAATAAAAATTGAAGCATAATCAAATATCTGAAAGTAACTTTAAAAGTGGTGAGAGAAGGACATTTCTGAGAAGGGTTTTGAGTAAAATTACTTTGCTGGGACACCAGGGCAGCCTGATCAAGCTGAGGCAGGGATGGGGGTTGCGGGGAGTACAAGGTTGGATTGTTCAATTCTGTGAGTATCAGCAATGCTGAAGGAATGCATATGCCAGGGAGAGAGGAAGAACACGAAGTTTTTATTGTTCTTTTCAGCCATATCTGCCTGTAAGTTCTGTAACCACCTTCTGTAACACTGCATACTTGTAAGAGCGCACAACTTCATATGAGACTGAGGACTTGCCTCCAACCTGAGCAGCTCCCATAACAGAACTCAAGGAAAGGTGCCTCATGGCCTTGTCACCCTGTAGGCAACACTTGGTGTAGACACTTGTATACAGGCAGTCCCCCAGGTTATGAACGAGATCTGTTCCTGAGTCTAAATCTTTAAGTGGAGCATATTGGTGAGTTGGAACAAATGCATATGGCTCTTATTTAGCCTTACATTAGTGCAAGAAAAGATTCAAAACCTTTTCAAAGATTTAAAAGCTGTACATGCAGCAAGTGAAGGTGATATGATGAGGAACTGTTGTGAATAGGGGTTGCTTCAATCATTTCAAAGTGACAGCAAATTTACAGGAAGCGAAGAGTTGTCAGTAAGTCAGATGCTGGTAACCTAGAGACTACCTGTATTCAAATTAACTTCACAAGAACTTCTAGAGTACCTGTTTGATTCCAAATACTGAGATATTTTTCTCTTCAGTTTAGTTAAATGAATTCTTTGAAAGGTTGGTATAGACTCACTCCTCCCAGCTACCACTCCCACCATATTTTCACCAGTAAGAATGCCTTGGTCCCTTTGCCCTGTCAGAAGTGTGTTGCCATTGATGAAGAAATATTCATATATGTTGAGAGTGAGAAAAGTTAGAAGAAGCAGGTCTACAGTCAGGAAGTTCAGGGTAGGAGTCATTGTCAGGGCAGACATAGGGCATAGGGGCTCCTCATCCAATGTTGCCTACCAGAGTAGTGTTCAAGAAACCAATTACTTTCTTCTAAAGCAAGACTACTAACTCTAATGAGATACAAACCTTTGCCTCATCTGCATTCATGAGCTGCCCGCAGAGCAGAAATCCCTCATACTGGCTCCAGGGAACCACCGGCTCCGGGAGGTCTCGGAGGTAGAGTTTTAACAAAGAGGCCACTGTGTGCACATCTGTGTCTCTGGAAGATAATAAGCAATGCTCTTTGAGAGGGAACTACCCTCACCTCCACCGTGGTTCTTCACTCACTAGAATCCTGGGTTCCAAAGGGAAGGTTTTCAGAGGAGTAGAATAGTTGGGATGTATTCCACCACCTGTCTGTTGGTTTGTTGTACTGTGGTGACTTTCATGTTGCTGTGATGCTGGAAGCTATGCCCCAAGTATTTCAAGTACTAACAAGGTCACTCATCATGGCCAGGTTTCAGCTGAGCTTCCAGACTAAAACAGACTAGGGAAAAAGACCTGATGTTCTACTTCTGAAAATCAGTCAGTGGAAAACCTGCGGATCAAAACTGAATATTGTTCTACATAGTGCTGGAAGATGAGGGCCCAAGGCAACACAATGGCTGCAACAATGGACTCAAGCATGTCAATGATCATGAACATGGAACAAGACTGGACAACATTTCATTCTGTTGTACATGGGGTTGTCATGAGTCAGAGATGATTGGATGGCAACTAATAACAATAACAAGAAAGATGTATCAGGCCAAACATTTTTGCTAATGTTCCTTCCTGCAACAACAGCGCCCAATACTTCTTCCTCTATCTCTTCCCCCACTTACCTCAAAGGGAAGTTCAAAGTCCCCTTATTCATTAAATTTTAAATATTTTAGTCTTCATTGATGTCTTCTTTCTCAAAGTCACTTGGTACCTCAAAATTAATCTCTAATTTTTTATGTGTTAATATCTCCATATCCATGGTTCATTGACCTCTTTAATTCCTCAGAATGCTCTAAATCATTCTGGCATTCATTCCTTCATTTACTCATTCACTCATTCAATCAATAAGCATTGAGTTCCTGCTACATACAAGATATTGTGCCAAGTGTTAGGATTTCAGAACAGATCTGAGGGATGCACAGGACGCCTGGCCTCACTGTGCCACAGGGCAGTGTGAGCCACAAACATCACCAGGTCCTAACAGTAGACTGCAATAGATGCCATGATAAGGAAAACACAGGAGCTAGGACCATATGGAAGTACAGAGAAGATGCAACCAATCCAGATTTGGGAAACTGTACCAGACTCTCAGACGAGACCCAAAGACTGATGAGGAGTTACATAAAAAGAGAGGTACAACACAGTTAACAGCATGTGTATCATATACTTGAAACTCATTAGTGAAAAAAAAAAAATGCTTATTCCCCTTACATCAAGAAAAACTAGGATTCTTAGGAGGCAATGCTGGTAGTTACTTCAATATGGTAAGAGGTCTAGACAATCTATGTCTCCTTGGTTTCAAGAACGTAAAATACCAGTACCAGCTATCAAGTCAACTGCAAATAATGGCAACCTCATGTGTGTCAGAGTAGAACTGTGGTCCATAGGGTTTTCCTGGCTAATTTTTCAGAAGTAGATCATCAGACTTGTCTTTTAAGGTGCCTCTTGGTGGATCTGAACCTCCAACATTTCAGTTAGTTAGCAGCTGAGCTGCTTAACCACTTGTACCACCCAGAGATTATGGATACAAAAATAAGGTAGGTAGAAAATGCTTCCTGGATGGGAGAGGAACCAAAAAACCAAACTCACTGCCCTCAAGTAGAGTGGACTCACAGCAACACCTCCTTGGGTTTCCGAGGCGGTATCACTATGGATGTAGATTGCCCCATCTTCCTTCCAAAGAGTGGCTGGTGGGTTTGAACTGCCAGCCTTCTGGTTAGCAGTCAAATGCCTTAGACACTGCATCACCAGAGGGTAAAATGAAAAGGAGGGGAAGAAGGGGGCCAGTAGAGATAAAGGAAAAAGAACAATATAGCTTGGCTATAAAGCTCTGTTTTTGCATTTCATGTAAACTTGTTTGTGTTTTGGACAACCAGTTGTTGAAGGTGTCTTCTGAAAAGCCCCCCCCACACACACACACACAGACACATACACACACAGCCCTTTGTAGCCTGTGAGCTCTCTACCTCAAAAGGAGAACAGAGCCTGGCACAGAGCCTTGTCTATGCTCCTCCACCTGCTGCTGCCCCAGGAAATGTGGGGTGGGAACTATTCACTTAATATGAGGATTCTGCTGAGTCACTGACTAAAAATACCACTGGGTAAAGCCAGGCTGGGAAAAGCACCTCTAAATACATATGGAAAAGTTCCAAAGGAAGTGCAGAAAGACAACCAGATTACAATTTGCTCAAGTGATATCACTTAGGATCCCTGCATCATGGTCCATACAACTGTCTTAATAGAAATCCAAACTTCTGGTTTGATTTGGGTCTTTCCCTCCACTCCACATCCAATTATTCTCCCAAATTGCCTCAATTCTACTATTCAAATGCCATATGAATCCCTCCTGACTTTTCCCATCCTGTTTCAGAATGCCATCATCTTTTGTAAGGATGACTGCCCCAGGTTCCTATCTGCTCTCCCTGCCTCCATTGTTCATGTACCAACCCACTGTCCATCGTATGGTCTAGCCTCAACACTCAAAACTCACCCATGGTATGAATGAAGAAAATGAAGAATTGGAAATGAGAAAAATAGTACAAATGATAAAAAAGAAAAAAAAAAAAAAGTACCTTTTGTTAGAATAGGCAAATGCACAGAAACCAAATTTTTTAGTGGTTCCCAGGGGCAAGTGAGAGTGAAAGGTGAGGAGTTACTGTTTAAGGGGCACTGGGTTTCTGTAAGGGTGATGAAGAAATTGGAAACAGTTAATGGTACTGGCTGCACAACATGGTGAACTAATTAATGTCACTGAATTGTACATATGAAAACGGTTGAAATGGAAAATGTTTTGTTTTATGTATTTTACTACAATTAAAACAAAATTCAAAACAACAAAAAAGTCTGTATCTTTTACAGAGAAATGAAAATAATAAAAAACGTAAACTACTAGATAGTTCATTCAGAAGAAACCAAGGCAGCAAAAATACCCAAGTTAGAAAAAAAAGGGATTATAACCACAGGTATAATATATGTATTTTAAAGTAATAATAAAGGAACACATGATAGTTATCTTGAAACAAAGAAACCAACAGAAAGCTTCCCAATTCATGTCACCAGACCCAGATAGTACCTATAAGCACCCACTGCTTAGCCAGCCTCTCTCTTCCTGCTTATCTGTTGGGTCTCAGCTTAAATTTTATTTTCTGTAGGGGAACTTCCTACAGCCACCAGACTGTGGCAAAGGTCCTCTGCTGTAAGATAACCTTGTAGGCACTACACCACCAGAGCTACTTTGTATACTCTATTTTCCCTATTTAGCTTATAGTATGTGAAAAATTATATAGCTACTTCATAAATTTTTGGTTTAATGTCTGTGTCCCCTTGTAATAGGGCTGATTCAGGCAGCACTGTTATGGTCTAAGTTGCCAGCATGATTTTTCTTGACTGTGCTATTCCTCCAACCCAGGGAAATATCTGTAAATGAATGAATTAAAAACAACAACAAAAAAATCAAGAACTAGTTCCAGGAAGATGGCAGACGAGGCACAAGGACTGCACAGACGCTCTTCAACAGAGAAAAGGGAAACCAATGAACACAGACACAGAAGATAATCTTGGACCCCGGAGCCTTGAAGGGAAGGATACAAAAGTGGACTAAACCCAACTAGCAGAAGAATTTGCGTGAAAATACCAAAAAAGGAGACACACGGAGCTGCGGTCTGGCAGTGGACTGAGCGACCCTGACGGCACAGACGACATGGCATGGAGATTCCCGAGTGGTGGTAGGACCTAAGAATTAACCCAAAAATCACCCTACTAGCCAGGGACTACACAAAAGACTGTGCAAGGTGGCTGGGGAGCAAACGGAGAAGGTGAAGAGAAAGGTGGGCTGAGTTGTGGACTTTTGTCAGTTCAGAGGGCGCCACCATTTTGTAGGTTTAAAAAGCGACCTGACTATTTTGGATATTCAAAGAGACAGCTCTCTCGCAGATTTCTGGGGCTTAAGAACATGTTCTGCTTTCCAGCAACCCCAAGGACACTCAGGGCCTGCAAGACTGAAAAGGTACGACATTCTTCTTGTTACTACACCCTACACCCACTTGGTGAACGGAGGTGTGGCCATCCCCA